ATTCACTTGTCAAAACTGTTTCTCTTTTATTCTTTATTGTTATCAATGTAACAAGTGGAGAAGTTTAATAGTTACTAAACTAAAAACCTTTTTATTCTGATTAAAACCATAGGTGTTTATTAAGTATTGAAATTAATTTAAATAAAAAAAGATAAATTAAAGAAAATTGATAGTAATTATTGTTTATCACATGACGTATGTAACTATTTCCTACAACGAACAATTTTATGCCATTTTTTTTTTACAGATTTGTAAATTATTTACCTAATCATCTATTAAAACTAAAAAAAATTGAAAAAACACCAAATTGTTAAAAAAGAAAATGTTAATAAATTTAGATCAGATTTTTTAGGATTTTAATCCTTTCAGGTATTTACACTATTACTACTTTCATACAAACAATAAATTGTTATTTCACAAATACAAATACAGTAGACGCCGCTTATAAGCTCACTTTGGGACCAGCACAAAATGAGTCTTATAACCGAATGAATCTTATAGGCAAAGTGGAAAAAAAAAATTATTACGTATTTATAAATTTTATTTTACTACATATTTTGCTTTGATTTTAATACATTAACACATATTACATATTACATACTTTATTATTGAATAAGTTTAATAATCCCGATAAAAAAAACTAAAATTATAATCGTTACAATTATCGTTGCGATAAATGTGAACTTTTATCTGCGATAAAAATTATTATACGTTATAAGGTACCAACAGAAACTAGAAATAATCAACACGAATATTATTTCATTTTTCAAAACCAATTTATTTCTAAATTATAACCAAAAAAGTTTATTTTCTACTATTTATTTTACGAAATTTGAGTCTTATAACCGAAGTGTTGAGTCTTAAAACCGATTTTTCTTTAATGTATTTGGATACGTCCAGACCGTTCCAGACGATTTTGAGTCTAATAAGCGACTGAACCTTATATCCGTGAGTCTTATAAGCGGCGTCTACTATATATCCAAACAGAACATTTTGTTAAAAATAGAAATAAAATTTTTCAACTTTTCACAACATAAATTATAATTAGAGATAGGATTACACTTTATTTTTCATAAAAATGTTACATAAATAATTTTATTTTTAATATTCTTGAATTAAAAATTTTTCTTCCTCGATGGATGATATTGAATTTGCGAACAAGTATTTGAACATTGGTAATAATACTTTCATGCTACGTTGTATATTACACATATGATATAATTATTAATTAGAGGTCAGATTTTTATGATATTATACATTTATTTCTAACGTAGGCGAATCTAGGAATTCATAGCAGGGTGTGCCTTTACCTCAAAAAGGCCCTCTGTAGTTCAAAATACCTCTCAGTTATCACACGTTTAAAATATGTTTCCCATTTGAAATTACATTTATCATCATCAACTATCACAACTAAAAACATATGAATTTTAACTCGATAAATTAATAAGTAGAATAAATTCTGAATTAAATATACAATTTTATTACAGTATTAAATAGTAATAATTATATACTTTATTGTACCTGAATTTAATTTAATTTAATTTCAAACTTATCGTTAGCATTCACAGTGCAAATATCATCATTTTTAATAAAAAAAACTATAAATAACTATAGCAAAAATATATGATTTTAATATGCTAGTTAAACTAATAAGTAGCATAAATATTAAAATATTTGTATAATTATATTGTTATGATCGTAGTATAAAAAAAAAATAATAACTAGGTAGGTACACAACTCATTGCATTTGTCATTTTTAAATAATACAGCTATAATAGTTATTCACCCAGTTTACCAAATACTACCTAAATAATATATATACAATTGAACAAAAATCAAATTTCTTAAAAAAAAATATTTTTTAAATATGTTTAATAATTATAAAGTATAGAGAACAGTAAGTCAATATAGAGTAGATGTAAACTATATTATATTTTTTCATCAATAATTAATAGTTAGGTAGGTATCAAATAAAACTAAATAAGAACAATGATATTAATTAATGCAATTTATCATAATTAAATACTAAGATATTTATATTATTTATTAGTATGAAGTATGTAGGTACTTACTTGAATCAATTTTTTTCAAAAACTTGTTTAATGAACCTTTCATTTTTTTCAGTTCTGCATCTTTTTTTTGTTTTAACACTCTTTTTGAGTGACCACTTGAATTCTTAGGCGATATGATATTAATACTTTATACTTCTGTGTTAAATGTTAATACAATAATACTTAATACGAAATAAAGTATTTTTCATTTTGTCAATAACTATAAAAATGATAATAACTGGTAAAATTAAATTACATCAAATAACTATGATTATGGCTATAAATTACGACTATAGCCGTGTTATAAATAAACAGGCATGTTTTCTCTTTTCTTGATAATATTGCCGATCTCTTATCAACTATGCTTATCACGATAACATTTATTGACAATATTTGTACCCATAAAAATGTATTAAAATTAAAATATAAATTGTTTAATATTTAGACTCCATACCGTTGTTACTGAAATGAGTATTATGGGCTCTACATAGGTTTATACGAGTCGCAGGGTGTGCCCTGGCACACCAGGTACACCTGTAGATTCGCCTATGATTTCTAATGTATGTAGTTAGATGAAAATAAGATATTACAATCCATGAAACATAGAATTCAAACAAAAAAAATTATTTTGCATAAAAAAGCATATGTTAAGGCTTGAAGAGTATTCAACTCGTTAGAAAATACGAGTATTTGAGAATATTTTTATCTTTGAAGATTTTATTTTCGTAACATCGACGTAATGAACATATTTCACGTAAATCGGCATTTTGATAACATTGGACAATAAATATAATATTCACTATACGAATTATTTTTATATCCTTCTGGGTTCTAATAAATTTTAATTACCAGATATTTCTTATCGGTGGCGATAGTACATTGATTACCTATTTCGTTAGCTATTTCGACTATTTAGTCGTCCGTCACGGTGTGTGTTGAAATTTAAGTGCGATATGTTATTGCTTACATATTATTATTGTCTTTCCATTCGCATTATTATTACATACTTACCTACAAATATGCTGAAAACTTTTTTTTAAATATTGAAAAAATATTTTGCATTTTTAAATATATAATTCATCATAATATAGGTACCTGATATTTTTAACGACAAAAAAAACACCATATTTTACGGATTTTTTGAGAGTATAAATCCTATCTCAAGTTATAATAATTATAAATAATTATTATTTAATTGTTTACCTGTGAACGGGCGGTGGTCGTTTGGGCGAAGGTAATAATTTTGACCTAAAAAATAATAGTTCGTTTGAGTGAATGAAATTATTTTTTGACTGTAGATTACTACTTATCTATATAATAATATTATTATTAATATCTTTACTAATTTTTTTTTTTTTTTTAATAGGACTTATTATTAATAATTTATATTTAAAGTACTTTCTTGGTTTATTTAGGAAGAAAACAACTTACTAATATCATGCATGTTTTTCAATTTTCCATCAATAATTTCTTGTTATTTTATTTAATTTTTTCAAATCCATTTTTATATTTTCTGTTTTTACTGCCTTTTCACTCATTTTTTCTTGTAAAATTATATTAATGTCAATAAATATTTAGTATTGATCAATTTAGTTAAAATCGCAAATTATGAAACTATCAATATATATATACCTAATATATATAATGTGATAATAAAATTGATCCTAGGTAGAAAGTTTGATAAATAAAAAAGTTTCTAAAAACACGATTAATCCACGTACGTCACTTCAGCCCCCCATCCCAAATTTTCAAAACATGGAAATTTTATCAGTAAGTACCTACGTTATGTTTGCATATTTGTATGACTAAAGGCATAAATTATATCAAAAACCCTTGGAGGGGTGCGGGGGGAAGCGTGACGTTACACCAGTCCCCCACTAAAGAAATATAAAAATTTTTTGTACGAATATTTTGTGCTCTATTTATACATATTTGTACAGGCAATATGAACATTAGTACGCTATTAGTTTTGCGAGGATCGCGATAAATTTACGGGCGACAGAGTGGGATGACAAAAGAAGCTAAAGATTCCCCTGATTTTCTTATTAAATAAAGAAACTGCTAATGTTTTTACGGCGTTTTAATTTGTAGAATTAGTTTTAATTTATTTTCGAAACATTTTATATTTTTTCTTAATTCTTACTGTTCTTTATTTTTAAAAAAATCATAGATTTCGTGAAATGTCTTTTATCTATGCTAAGTTTAAAGATGCCTTTTAAGACTTGGTAGTCTTAAAGCCTCATTTAATAATGCCTCAAAACATATCACACATTAAGAATTTGTTCTTCTTCAAATTGGTTGCACGTGAAACCCATTGATGAATAAATACTATCATAGGTACTTACAAAGTTACTTTTTTTTTTCATACAAGGTGTCTTTTCATCATCAACATTAGAACTCTTCCTTTTTAAATTTAGCCAACTGTCGATTTTAATTTAAATGTCTTTAAGATGGTTTAAAAAAATGTCACATATTAATCGTAATTTACATTGGTATACAATTATAATTGAGTATCTACGATCGATAAATTGCACTTAGAGTCGACTAAAGTACAGTACACCTGTACATTTCGTATTATCATTAACATCAAATATTTAATCTAACAGTTTAAAATATAATTTACCATATTTATTATATTATGTTTTATTTATAATATTTATTTACCTCGGTGAATAGGTATTCCTTAAACACTAGAATATAAAAACTAAAAATTAAAAATACATAATCAAAAAAAGTTTCTTAACACTTAAATATTTCTATTATTATGATACTATAAAACACCGAGTCTAGTAAGACCTAAGATTTGTATGATGAATAGTTTGATAAGGAAAGCATAATATTATTATTTATAAAAAGAGAACTCATGTTTGATTAAATACATTTTGTGATAATACTTTTTATGTTATGTTTATTATAGAGTCAATTGCTTAACATTTTTTTATTTTTCAGTCTCTATTATTTAAATAAAATGAAGATTCAAAAATCAGATACCATGATTCGAACGAGTTTACTGACTGTTCAAATGATAATCATTGCTCTCAATTTGGTCCTGATTGCTGTGGTGATCAACAAAAGAAAATGCAAGGTACCTATTACTAAATATATCAGTGTAATTAACTACATTATAACATCATACTGCCAAAATATATTTTAAAATATTAAATCCTTGAAGTAAGTCCGCCGACTTTAATACACGAACTATTTAGTATTACTATTTATTTAGATGTTGCCTAAAAGAATTTTTAAGACAAAATTATCTTACTATGAAGAGTATAAACTAATAAGCACACTCAAAATGTATTTTGTGATTTTTTTTTTTAAAGATTAAACAAATTTGAGTTATTTCAAGACTCAAAATTAATGCTAAATTAGGTTTTCTACGAATTGAAGATATTTACAATTTACGTATTGGAATTCTTGAGCCAACAACTTTTGTAGTTCTTAATGGTAATAACTTAAATATAGGCATGTCCATATTAATAATTTTTTTTTTTTTAAAGAGCTACGGAGTTCTTATTACCAATGTACCTTTTTTAGCTGGAGGTAATATACTGAGTTCCCTCGTTTTGTCCTCTCCTCTCTCACCCTCATTTATTTTTGTTTCACAAAGAAAGTGCCACTTTTTGTGATATTACAGTTATTAATAATTTCAAGGCTTAGAATACTCTACTTCTACTTTGTCTTTCAGCCTTCAATATACTTTTTAATTAACTAATTGTGCTTATCTTCGTTTTTCTTTCAGCTTCTTTTTCGTATTATCTCCGTTATATAGTTCATCACTTTCTTCCATGTATCTGGTTCACGTATCATGATTCCTATTAAATTTTTCCTGGTTGATACTATATGTGTTTGTTGTTTACCTTAGTTTTCAAATCCATCACAAACAAATAAGGAATGCAGTGCATCATCGCATTTTCCTCACAGAAACAGCATTCCAACAATTGCAATTTTTTATAATTGTACACGTACGCTGAAGACATCCATAATCTGTTAAATTATAGTCATGTCTTCGGATTATCCAGATTTTAATCTCGTGGATTAGTCATTTTGTTCATTGTCCCTTTTCTCCTGACAGCCATCTATTTTTCCATTTAGATTGTAGCTCTCTTTTGGATGTTTCTTTAGTTTCTTTCATATTTCGTCCTTCCTTATATTCTATTTAATTTGCATTCTTTCACACGCTTGTAGTTCAATGGGAGGCAATGCCGATAAGATATATAGTCATATAGAGCTTTTGTTAATACTGTGTTATATAGGCTAATATTGATATTATCATCATAATTTGCTGATTTTTTTTTTTCAAGCTGTTGCCAACTTTAGCGTCTCATTCTATCCACTCATGCCTGCTCACCATTTAACATTTGTGACATAACAACAGTTGACAGTAGCTTTCTTATCTATGATTTTGAAGTTCCGATATCTTACCTAGTTTTGTAGAAGTCGACACTTTGTCTGCTGCTATTAGCGTGATTTATATACCGAGATATTTCTAACATTTCTTTGGCTCTATCTTAGTTTCTCCCTACTATAACCAACCATGGTGAAGTTTCGTATCCTGTTGTTTTTAAAGATTATAAGTTCTGATTTTTCTGTAGTTACCAGTAGGCCAGTCTTTTCAAGCCAACTCTATACATTATCCGCAGTTTCCTTTAATAGTTCTTCAATTTTTTCTATGTTCTTTGCAGTGGCTACTAGTGTTAGATCATTAGTATAAGTTATGATTTCAATTCCAGTCAGCATATCCTCCCTTAATAATCCATCATTAATTTAGTATTGCTAACTATAAATTTAATATTTTTATAGACACTAAATCCGTTAAGTAATAATTATACTAATTATCTGTTTAACTATATTTAAATAGTTAATATTTTTTCCATATAATATACTTTATTACAGCTATAACTTATCGTTTGCACGTTTGCTTAAAATAAATGTATTTTGAATGAAATAATTTGATATATTCGTAAATTTAACATATAAACTAAGTATAAAGTAGAATTGAACTGAGGTCGAAGAGAATTTACTACATTTTTGGCGATTTTGTTTTAAAATAATTGTATGTTAATTATTTTATCAACTAATAAATTATTTATTATATATTGTTTATTTCACAGACTATTTCATTGAGTATGTGGACGTTATTAGTAACTATGATAATCGGCTCCATAATATTGAATATGGAAGTAAGTTAATCAGAATCTGTGTAATAGCAAACACATAATAATCAAAATAATGTTTAATTATTAAGATAACCAACATAATATAGCGCTGTTATAATATATATCAGATAATGTGATATTATGTACTAATATTATAATTTATTGATAATTTAGAAATTATGTAAATTATTATTTATTTGCAACTGGGGCCTACTCTCGGTTTACCACTGAGGTGGAATTCAATTTTCGTAGTCTATATTTAATTATATCCTTTCAATTTAGAACTTAAAATAGGTTGGGTTAATCAAACATGGATATGCATAAAAAAAAAAAGAAAATAACAAACTACTAAACTTCAATATTTATACTAACTAACTAATCCGCTACATTTTAGTTATGTGTTAGTTGGTTTCATCGCGGATTCGTTTATACTCTATTCAGTTTAAGTTAACTCACTTTTGATACTTAGCCGCCGAAACAGTTAGACACCATTGGTCGGTGTCAGATACCCTGTGACTGGGTGTCAATAGTACACCAATAGTATTTAATCTTTGTTGTCAGCAGTATTCATTGTACGTACAGATGCATAATTCCATACTACCGCTCTTAATGGTCATCGTCACTTTTTGTCGGACGAGTGAATCAACTTAAATTGAACAGAGTACCTATAAAATAAATCACTAGTATTGTTCGCCTGTGCTTTCTTCCACATATCACCATTTAACAACCACATTAAAACTGCAATTTTAAAGATTACCCTTGATCAAAAGTAATAAACTAATAATTAATATATGCATGTTTTCTTGTTCTTAGGTTATCATTCAGTACTTTACACCAACATTACCATTATGCCTTCTAGCTCCATGGCTCCGGGAATTAGGATTCGTGATATTCTACGGTGCGATTGATTTGAAATTATATAGGTACTTATGGTATAAATTTGTTTATTATATTTTACTGATATGTACATATTAATAGGATTCTGATGCAGTTTCGTACTAGAAAAGCGCACTGTTGGACAATAACTGACAAAGATCTGCTGAAATATTTATTGTTTGGTGTTATTGTAGTAATTGTTTACCTCACTGCCTGGACTGCAGTTAGCCTTAACTTCTTTAATGAAGGATGGATTCTCGTGAATCATATTAAAACCGAGGATGGTTTTTTATACACAACGTGCAAACCTCAGTGGTGGAATCATGTTACGGAATTTGGTAATTATCTAAACTATAACATATTTTTATTTAATAATTATTAGTACTTTATTCTTATTATTGACATGGAATTGATTACGGATGATGGAGTATTAGTTTTGTACAATTTTTCTTAAACATTGTTAAGATTTAAACATTTAGTTAAAAAAAATAAGATTGGAGAATCAATTACAGCTTTTAGAGAAATTGGTACCATCATCCGTCTGAACTCCATAGGTAAACCCAATTGAGTTGGTTAGAAATTATAGCTAAAGTTAAGCAAACAAAATATATAAATTAAAGTTGGTTAAAATAAGACTCTTTATAAACTCTTTCTAGTTGATGCACAACCTTAGAAATATACGATTAAATACAATACTCATATTTTAAAAGTGTTTAAACAATTGAGCAGTATAAAACTATTAATTATTATGTAAAAATCGTAAGCTATCCGTATTACGAAAAACAATAATCTCGAGACTTCACAACAAATCATTACAATATGATGACCAGAGTAAATTACAAAAAAAATTTTATTGAAAATTCAAAACAAATTACTTTAGATTTACAACTGTAAAGACCAAAAATAATACACAGGAGTATAAAGCTCATTAAATGTTATGAATCTTGACTTTTTAACTATTTATTTATGGATTAACTTTTTCAATTTTAAGGATAGTCATTTTTCAATTGTTGCAAGAGAAAGCTATTATGAATATTCAGTAATAGCAATAATAATATTAAAAATAAAAATACAACAGTTAATTTATTAATCATTAGTTATCCACACAATTCAAAATATTTATACATTTTTCAATAAATAAAGTTTAACAATTTTAATTAATCACGTCTAAATATGAACCTCTTCGGGGTCTCATATATACTCTTTTCTTCTATCTCTAAAGACTTGTTTGGTAATCAAATGATGTATGTTGTCATATTCACACAGTATATTCTGTTCAAGTTAAAAAAGATAGTCGGCAGCGGCCAGTTTCCGTTGGGCGGTTTGTTAAACACTTATTTGTTTATCCTTACCACGTATAGTGAAGCCACATAAAAGTCTGTCACTGACTACGTTACTTAATGTGATAAATTAACTTGAACAAAGTATAGAATATGGTATTTTTAATTATCTCTACTATGGTAGACTGTGTGTGTGTGTGTGTGTGTATGTATGTATGTGTGTGTGTGTGTGTGTGCGTGCGTGCTTAACACCAAACTGCGGGGAACTGTGTGTAGTGGAATATGTCGCCGCTGCCAGAACTCATTTATTAAATAAACAAAAACATTCTAATATATTTACATTAATATCAGTTAATTAATTACATACATAAATAGAAAAAACAATGGGTTCCTCTAACCGTTCTAATTTTTTAGTCTTCTGCCTACATATTGTCTAAACTACAAGTTTCTGTCAGCACCTTGTCTTCGTATCTTCTCAGTTCATTTGATACTATTACCTTCTTCATAAATTTAATATTAATTTCCATTGCCGTTTGTCACGTGTTATCTGATCAATCACATTTTAAGTTCCAGTTCGATCTCAATTTTACTGTTCAACTGCCGCCTCTAGTTGTGTCATGTGTCATATTTGAATAACGTGTGGTATTATGTAATCTAATGGATTACCACACAGTAAGCACTGTGAGCTTTCAAGCTTATCTATACGATGTAGGTATACGTTAAAGTATCCCTGACCGAACAGTCCTTGTGTTGGATGATGAAACATTTCCCTGTGCTTTCTTATAACATCTGACATTATCCGGTGGGTCCATTGTCTGATGGTTGTAGCATACCGTCGTGTCTGCTATTTCGTATACAGACTATTTTTACTCGCTTTGAGTGTTTCTCCAACCATTTTTACATTGTATATGGTACTTTTAAGTTCCATTAGCAAATGTATGCGTCTCATTTCCGCTATCACTATTATGGCCACGTACGATACCGTCCTATATGCCCCGACTATTCGCAGGGCTACTATTTTTTGAGACGACTCCAATATTTTTTCTGCATTCAACTTCTTGGTTTGGTATGATGTCCACATTGGTGCAGCATACAGGAGCTTACTGTTCAACATGCTTGTTAATAAATTCCGTTTATGGTTAGCGGGTGCTCCGATGTTTGAAAACATCAGTTTCTGTTTTTTTTTTCGTTGTCCTACTCAATATGAATACACAACGTCCATGTATTTTCTGCGTTATTCTAAATTAAGTACTGTTTTTGTTTCTTTTTGATCGGTTTTATTATACATGTTGATTTTTGTAATGTATCTCAATGTGCTAATTTTGTTGATGAGTTGACAACATATGTATTGACGGTTCGTAACACACGTACAGTAGTACTCGTCATCACAATTTCCGCCATCGTACATAAAGCGTTTTAATTGCCGATATGTTTTTAATCACTTCGTCACTTGCGCGAATTTCTCACCACCATGAACTTCATTTAAGTTGTCAACTCATACGTTGCTCTGCTTGTATATCGTATCTGATTCAAGCCGTCGTGGACACGTATATTATATTATTCTTTATTTTAATAATAACTAATAAGTTTAAAATTGTCATAGGTTAAGTTCTCCCCTGTTCATATTTATGTAAAATACCAAAATATTGTTACCTAATATAAGACACATTTGTATAATTCTGTGGTCTTAGATAACATAAATTAATTACTCTACATTATCATCCGGTCCCTATTACGGTACACTATCGTCTCCATAAAAAAAAAGTCAAGAACCGAAACCAGTGTATATTCAAATGTATTGAGTTAAAAAAAGATTATATTTAAAATTAAAATTAATTTTGGCTGAAAACATATGTGTAATTTGTTAGATTGAAATTGAGAATCAAATATAAAAAAATATTTTCTGATTTACAGGTGAAATACTGATTTTAACTATGGGGTTATACTATGGAAATTCGGCACGTAATGCTCGCGTGCAGTTTGAAGAGCGGCGTTTTCTTTTTTACGCAATTGCAGCGGAATTAACGTTTAGTACAATTTATAATACCTTTCGTACTGTTTATCCCATACCGTTCCATCAGGATATGACGTTCATAGCTGCTTTTTCACGCAGCTTGTTGACAAATACTCTTGCATTGATAATCATATTTGCACCAAAGGTACGTATTCACATAAACATGGAACTATAGAACAACTCTCACCTTTCATTGGGTGAGCAGAGTGAGGTAGTACGAAGATACATTCTTAATATTGTTTTTAATATTTATATTTTCATTCATTAGTTATGGTATCAAAAAAAAGTGAACGCCGAACTCAGACATTCAGCTATAAATCAAGAACTTTCTGAATCATTAAAAGCTGATATAGCTGATAAAGACCTCAGAGAAATGAACATATCGGAGATGACTTCAGATGAAATACGGGTAATACTTAGTAAACAATAACAGTGATTTCTACTTAAAATGATGATTATTATTGATGTTTAATAATGATAATTACGCATTTTTAAGAATAATGTTATTAAAATATACAGTTTTGGAAAGACTATTAGGTGAATGATTCTTCTTAATAAATTCACAGAAACGTTTGCCTTTTTATCAAGTGATTTTTCAGCATTAGAAACAAAACTTTTGAAGCACATTTTAGCCTTACTTTACAATGTGCATGAAGGTAAGAAAACTCTATAGCCGACCAAGGTACTCATTAATTTAAATAGAACGTAACTTATATAATTTTGGAAAACAAGTTCCTTTATTTATTTAATGGCACAGGCAGTGAAACGGAACTTGATAAGGCTGAACATGGGAATATATTAAGGTAAAATTAAGGTTATCGTAGAACATAATATAAACTGAAGAGTTTTTATACAAGAAAATATTAGTTTCTAATTAAGAAGATTGATATTTAATAATATTTTAATTAAGTTTATGAGTTTAAGAATAAGTTGTTTTACATCCATCAAACTTATACACATTATATTTTTAAAAATAAGAATAAAATTCACAGTCGAAAAATGCACCTTTAAGCCAAATTTTAGCTAATTTAATTTAAAATAAGTTTAAGCTACGATATGATTATATATTTTACATTTAAAAGATTACAGTTAAGGAAGAGCATTGTTTTTTGAAATACCAGTAATCACTTTTAAACACCATACATGAAATTTATACAAAACTCAGTTTTACCATTAAATCAAGCTCAGAATAGTACGACCTCTACAAATTCTAATGAAGTTGTGTCTTGTACTTAAAAATCTGAAAACTTTCCGGGAATATCGCTTCTAGCCGCTTTTTATAACTGGAGTAAGCTATCTATTTTTTAAACCTATTAATAATTTTCAAAGTAGGATGTTGTCAGGTCAGGACACTTTATCAAATCGAATTAGTTTCAAGTCTACCTTCAAAGAATCTAAGCAGGTTAACATCTTGGATCATGTATGTGGACATGAATACACATTAACACTTCTTCCATGTAAAAGTCTGTTGTAAAATATGAGTAATAATAGTTGACACATTGATCAGCGTAATTTCAACATTGAATTTCCCGTTTCAAGTTCTATTAATTATCTTGTGAACTAAGTCTGAGTTGAGAAACTTTAGAGACCTAGTAAAATGTATTGTAGTACAGCTAGTCCACCGGAAAAATGTAAAGTTGATATCACATTACCAATTAAAGTAGCATTGATGAGCTAACATTTTAAGTAATTTGAGTAGACACAATATTACTATAAGTAACCCGATTAATAATGAAAGATTCAGTTTAGTTTAGATTATCACTTTTAGCCGATTTAGTTGGCTTCATGATGAAATACTAGCGTACTTACGTTATAATCTACGTAAAGAAGCTTAAACAGTGAATACCACCGTTGAAGTCTCCAAAAAACATTAGATGGATATAGTTAAAAACTCCCGTATCGTGAAAACAAAAATCAAGTTTCAATATTCAAGAACAAATTACAAGTAGATACAAAATACATGGATTGATGGGCTAAAGGCTAAATTGACTTCCAGGACAGTAAATTTTTGTTCTGAATAATCATAATTTCAAGAAACAAAAAACCTTGGGTACTAATTATAACTTATAAAATTAGGTTGTAAGTACACTGAAGTAGAAAGGTATGAAGTTAATGCTTTTTTAATTCATAATTCAACAGGTAATATTATTTTACAATTAAATTGTAAAATACAATTTTATTTAAAATTGGAAAATAGAACAAACATATAAAATATAAAATAATATAAAATGACAATTAAAATTAATTTAAGGAAATACAAAAATTAGGTTTGCATTGGCATTTGATATAAAATTCTTCATTGGTTTGTTTGAAAAATAGTAAGTGGCGCAAGTCAGAATTAAGAATGAAGCGAAAGACCAGGTTGATCTAGAAAGAACTTTAAAGATCAATAGATATAAGAAGCAAGGAGAAGTGAAATCACCAACTAATAAGCCGTACATGAAATTAAGTTCTAACATTTTTTTGCGATTAGCTAGTGAAAGGTTAAGATGATCTGCAATCGGTGTATAGTTGTGAGGTAAATGTGTAACATTTAATAAAAAAATCTTACAAAAAGCAAAAATTTCCTTTGAACTCATTCAATTAAATAAAAGCTGTAAGTAGTATTTAGATTCCTGATAATAGAGCCATACTAAGATTCGGACAAACTAATGCGCAGAAGAGTGTTTTCAAAGATTTTTTAAATCTTAAGTCAGAAGCTAACCTCATTACAATACCTAACGTCTTAAAAGCATAGCAATAAATCATATAAGGTCCAGGATCACGCGAAAAATTAAATTTTAAATCTAGGCCTATAAAAGTGTTAACGCGTATAATATTATAAGTATCAAAATGATAAGCATACAGAATCGGAGTTTGGGATCTGCTATAGATCATTAAATTACACTTATCTAGATTAAGGGTCTTTGCTAAGGTTTAAAACCAAAGAATAAAACTATCGAGATCATTTTACAAATTAACACTGTCATTTGGAGAATCAATGCGTATAAATAGCTTCATATCATCTACATAACATAATTATTTACAGTTAGCTAAATTATATACAGCACAATTGATAAGTAAAGAGAATATAATAGGAGATAAGTGTTCAATCTATAGAATTTCAAACAAAATTATGAATAAATTAGATATAACACCAAATAGTTTGAGTTTGCTCAAATATTTCTTGAAGAACACGTGTAATTAAAATCATTGTCGATGGATAACGCAAAAGATCATATGATTCCAGAATAATTACTTTATTATTAAAGGTTTCAATTTCACTAGGTATTTTTTTCGTTTTCAGCCTAAAGTTCAGATATTTGGACAAGTATACGCTTAAAATCATCCCACGTTGTTTAATTGTTTGTCTTGTCAAGCAGCTATTTCTTAATTAAATTTTAAAATTTCCACTTTAAAGGATAACATAGAAGGCAGTATATCTTCATTTGAAACCGTCTTAAAAATGCTTTTTCAAACGTTACCAATACGACTGAGTGTAATATTAGAGGTAGGAGTTGAAGAACTATGTTTAGAAGCTATAGTATCAACAGAAAGAAATAACAAATGTAAGTAGATGCGCCTAGATATACTATTGCAACTTATACGATAGTAAAATATGCCAGTGCAAAATTTATGAAAATAGAACAACTTTCTTGTCTATCGTTAAAATCTCCACAAAATGCCAAAAACATTGATAATACTGGATATTACCAACAAGCAACTGGATAAAACAAAAATAAATTGTATAAAATTAAGTAGAATAAATTATTTATACAGAAGTTGACTAGAAGTTTTTAAATTATTATTATTAGTATGTATGTAACTAAAAAACACTTATTTGTTACATAATTACAAGCAAATAATTGCCTTTGTTATTTAACTAATAATTTTAAAAGAAATATGATTAAAAATCTCATTGTAATAGTAAAATATTAAATAGTTAAGGAAATTAATAAAACATGAAATGTATTTAAAAATACCTCTAAATATTTAAGTTGAAGGTTAGAATACATTTTAATTTAACTTAATTGAAATAATAAGTACTCATTGAAATGACTGAAAAAACTTATCTTAGTTTTAAAACATTTAATTTTAAAATAATTTGTACAATAACCTTTAGTAAAAGACTAATTAAAATTATATTTCAGGAAGAACTCAGTCGTGTTTATGTACAAATGGGAATATTACGGGATAAAACTGTATGTAAGAAAAACCCTCATATATCTAAACGAAAAGGTGGAAAGAAATTGCCACATAGACGATTTTCATTACAGGTAAATAAAAACTGAACCAGCTGAAACCAGAAGTGGGAAAATGTATTGTTTCGTTGAATAAAATAAAAACAAAATGTTTTTTTTCTATGTTCTCGGAACGGTTATAGAAGAAAGGAAGCAGAGACAAGGTATGACACTTTGGTGAAATATTGGCTTACCATTCTTAAGTTCAATTTTCTCACATGTGAGGTACTATAATAGTAAACCTGATTTCTATTTTAGTCTTCCATTAAAATTCGAAAAAAAAATAAAGAACTAGATTCATCAGAAATAAGTGAAACAAATGAGACAAATGAAATATCTAAATCCCCGGAAGACTCAGTGGTCAGCAATGAAGACGCTCCCGCTGTTGTAAGTGGTATTTGTAGTTGTCATTCAACGACGGGAATACATCAGACTGCTTGCAATGAATTTAATGACAGTAATGGTAAGTATTTCCTAAATATAAATACATTTTTACATAACTTCAAAAGTATAATTAGTTATTAAATTGAATTAAACTAACGTATTTCATTTGTATCTAATTTTCAAAGTAATAAAAATCACAATCATAATATTAACACCTAAATGGTTTTGATTTAAACTTTAAATATATCAGATATTTATGATATCAAAGTACAATGTATCACTTAATAACACCTTAATAAGCTGGAATAATCACAGTTTAATTTTTAAATGTCTGGCATTCATATTAGTCAACTTAAAAATAACTCTATTTTAAGCTAATTATATACCTTAAAAACAAACATATTTATTTATTTATTTATTTAATCGTATAAATGGACTTAATTCCTTAAAATATTATGAAAATGAGAACGGTAATAATTGGAATGTGAACTTTAATATACAGCAAGATAGCATAAATATAACAAGATTAGAAACTAAGACACATCATAATACGATTGTAAATTTACAGATATAAATAAAGAGGACTTATAAGATAAATAAAACAAAAAAATTTAAAAAATGAGATATGCTAAATAGAATCAAATATAATTAAATTACCCACAGTCATTAAAATATTAGAGGGACTGTTCATCACTTAGTTTTATTTTAAAATGAATAAGGAAAAGGAGCTCTTAACAATAAATGCTACCTAAAAGTAAATGATGTAAATTAAAATATTATTAGTCCCAATTAATTGACAATGTTTCAAATTAGATTGAACAAGAGCACAGAATAAAATTTGTGAAGATAAAGGATCTCTAATTGATCCATAAGTTAATTTAATAAAACCTAAGTTGCGCATTGCCTTTTGCTTTATCATTTCAGTATTGGCTGAGAAATTTAGTTTTGAATCAAAGATTACGCTTGAGCCCTTAAATTTTGCCAATAGATCAATATTTGAGTTGTAAAGTAATTATAATTTATAGAATTTTTAATTAAATAAAAGCGCATAAATTTGCATTTGTCATTATTTATTGACAGCCGGTTTGCTGAACAATAAGACTGAATGTTATTCAAATTAATTTGTTAGACAATCACGTTCCTTTGATTGTTAATTATTTTTGCGAGTTTAAGGTCATTAGCAAAAAGAAAAACTTGAGAATTTTTTACACAATTAGAAATATCATTAATAAAAATATTAAAAAGTAACGTTGAGAGATGATTTCCTTGAGGAACACCGGATGGTACATTAACTCTATCAGTTTCAAAGTTTAAACTTTAATATCATATTGATGATGAGTGAAAAATGAGGATTAATATTTTTTAATTTTAGTAGAGACGAGTTTTGAAAAAAGTTTTGAGATATTCGATATTCTTAGTATAGACCGATAATTAGTAATAACAGTTCGATCATCTTATTTAAAAATTGGGATAAATAAAAGAGTTTTTCCAAAAGTCGGGTAATATACCATTTCAGAGCGATTGGTTAAAATTGGAGTACATATAAATTTGCAGTTTTTGAGTAAAAAAAAAGCGGGAATATTGTCTGGATCTATCTTAAAGTTTAGAGAGAGACTGCTAATTTTATTTAAAACATCAAATTTTGTAAGCAAATAAAAAAGAAGAAAAATGAGGGATTATCTTTTATTTACTTACTTGTTTTTTTTTTTCATATACATTTTTATTAGAAAATTGTAATTGATGTCTGGCACCCATGGATTATTCATAATATCGTATATTTCACTTAGTGACAATGTAAAGTTCATATAAAATCCTGCATCATTTACATTAATAACATCAGTATAATTATATATACTTTTTGAGATGAAAAATATAGTGGTTGAATCATCTGTATTTTTTATTTGGGAAGTTATAGAAGTATGTGCTCTCTTTTTAGAAGGTGATGACGATGAACGTGACGTTCGTAAATAAAAAAAAAATGGCTGATGAAATGATATCAGATAAACCTATACCTTGACCTCGAAGAAAATTGTACCATCGAAGTTCACAATATAAGTTTTGACAAAACAATTTCTTGCGCAGAAGAAAGGTTCTCTCTGATAAAAAACTTTACTCTGATTTAGTCCGTTTGTCACCAAATAATTTTAAAGATTTATATGATAAAGAATTATTATCTAATACACTACCTACTTGAATTGTCCAAAGTCCTGAAAAAGTTTGACAAATTGACTCGTGTTAAATTTTTAGATGAATTTATTATTACATTTTTCATCATCCTTGGATAAATTAAATAGAACTGTACCTAAATACTGTGAAAAAAGTACTGAAGATGATATTGAAGAAGAAAAAGTAATAAACATGGCACTAATGTTGAAGAAGTATACTGCAAGTCATGAATCGTCATCACTATTGTTATAATGTACTAATGAATTGCTTAAAAATGATTACAAATATGTTAAGTAGATAATATAAGCCAACAATCATTGATTTTTTGTTTCATCAAATATAAAATAAATTGCAATATATAAATATATATATATAAATGTAATTTATTTTTATTCGTTCCTTTAATAGGCCCATCCCATTTTATATTGTTAACTTCAATATTAGATCATATTATTAAACTAAAATAAATTATGAGTATTTTAAAGTTGTAATATTCTGCATAAATTTACTCTAATATTAAAGCTAACAACATAAAATGAGTACCTATACAAATGGAGACATCACATGCGACCTCTTAAATGTATTCATTATTTTTTTTTTTTTTTTGCGTAATTCCGACAATAATTTTTATATTTATTAGATAACAGTTATGGCGAAGGACCATCGTGTTCAAAATCCAACGTATTGACCTAATGGCTTTGGCTTAGGTAAAAATATTTTGTTTGTTATTATTTTGTGTAAATATTTAAAACACTAATGATAGCACAATTTAAAAATATACACTTTATATTTATTTTTATTTTTAATGTTAATACTGTTGGTTTAATTATTTTGTCTATTGTTTCAGAAAGACCGCAATGTCCATAAAATAAATTAGTAAGAGATGGATTTTATGTTACTATGGTGATCAACAGCAGTTTTAGATGTGTTAGTACCTATTTTAAACAAATGTAGTAGATTAAACAAATTTCTACACTAATTATTGATGCACTTTTGCTAAATAGATTAATTTTGATCGAGATGAAAAGACACTAGGTATTAAAAGAAAAATTACGTTTTTTAATACTATTTGATTCAAAACTAAGGTTAAAAATGTTCCGTAATTGTGATACAGAAATTATTTACTAAAAAGATGTCTTACTTGCATTTGTTAGATTACAAGAGCGCAATATTCCAACATAGAAAATTTAAGCTTAGCATAGTATTATTATTTTCGTTTTTATTATAAAACTTAAAGATAACAACATGGTTTGTGGTTAGTTGTTAGTATTTTTTTTTTTGCGATACTTAAACTTTAAAGATAGTTGTTTGGTTGTAAAATATTAAAGCTTAAAACATTATCATAACTAACTAGCTTCGTTATAAAAATATCGAAAAATTCCTTTAACAAACAACTGATAATATTGTTACTTTTAAATTGATTAATTTAAAAGTTGTATTAAAATCAATGCAGCTAATTACTAAACATGAACAGTTAAATATAATCTTGTTATGTTTCGTACTTGTGAAATGGAGATAACAAATACATGCAAGACGTCTTCTTAAGAATAAAATTATTTTAAAATGGATATGAGTGATATAAAATCACTTTATACCGATTAAGTTAGAAGCAAGATATTCTTTCGAGTTAATAAAAAAAAAAAAACTAAATGGTTTGTTAAGAAATTAACTAATTGTTTTAGTAAATTAGAACCTCGAGTTTAGCTTTACACAACTAATACTAATTTTAAAAACTATAACTAAAAATAAAAAAATAAATATTTAATTGCACCAAGTTTAATGACTTTAAGAAACTATTAACAGTAATAATAATTTTATCATCAATATCGTATCGACTAACAATTTAAAATTCACATACAAATATTTATTGAATTATCTATGTTTCGCAAATAAAAGTAAAATTAAAATTAAGCCATTGTAACGTAAGTTGTTATACTTATGGTAATTTATTATTTCAATAAACAAATTGGTGAATAAATGGTGAATATCATTTATTGTTACAAATTTTAAATAGGTACATATTGCTACACCCTAAGAAAGAAATTTATCAGGTCGTGAATAGGTAACTAACGAAATTTTAATTTTTGTTGTATATATAGTTGTATCTAGTGTTGAGATTATCTAAATCATATCTACTTACTTGTCCTATACCTGATGAAATAAATATCGTTTAAGTCATCTAAAATTTATCTCGGATAAAAAAAAAAGTAAAAACATAAATTAAATATTCCTATAATTTTGGATTTTCATAATATCATTTAAAATAATAATAACAATTTTAAAACGAAAATATAATATATTTATAAATGTAATTCGAAGAAAAAAATGTATATGATATGAGCGCCAAAAGTATAAAAAATAAATATAATTTGCATCAATAACGATTAAAATTTTTAATTTAGATAAAAAAATAATAATAATTTTTATTATACAATTTTATTTTAACCTTTTAAATATTCTATTTGACCTATTCCACCATTTGTTATTTTTTTTTCCATTGTAAAATTACATCCTCACGAGATGTCTTTAATTTTATGTTTGAAGCAAAAGAATTCATAAATAAATATGTTTCACTATGTAATTTTAGTAATACATTATTATTATTTTTTAGTTTTTCAATCTGAAGATTGGTTTTTAACAAATGTTTTACTATAAATGACTTCTCCATTTTTCTCTATCATTCGCCATATTCTTAAAGTTCCCTGTAGGAAGTAACTCCTGCATCCTGCATTATTTGACTAATGTATCTCGTCCTAGGTCTTCCTCTTGATCTTGTACCCTCTATCATTCCTTCGATTATTATACTATGCAGTTCATTTCCATGCCTCAACGTGTGTCCTATCATGTACCATCTCATTTTCTTTATAGTGTCTATCAATGTTCGTTTTTCATTTATTGTTCTCATTTGATCTTCTATCAGTCCAGCTTATTTTCTGCATTTTTCTCCAACACCACATCTCGAGAGCTTCTAACATATCTTTTTCTTTCTTATTAATTGTCCAGGTCTCACTTCCGTATAATGCCACACTCCAGACGTGTGTTTCTTCGTTACTATGTTCATATTTTTTGATGTTAGTATTTTTCTCTTTTTAAGGAATGTACTCTTTGCTTGACCTATCCTGCTTCTGATTTCTTTAATTGATTTCCCTTCGTCCGTTATTATGCTGCCTAAGTATTTGAAATAATCTACTTGGGTAATTTCTTTGTTTTCTAATGTTATATTTATGGGTGGTATGTTTTTCTAGTAGCATACTAGAGCTTTGGTCTTGGCTGCATTTATTTTCAGACTATATTCTTTAAGCGTAATATTCATTACATTTAATGCTGCTTGTAGGTCTTCCTCCGATGTTGCGAGAATGACTATATCATCAGCAAAGCGGAGCATTGTTATTAGTACCCCTCCTATTTTCACTCCAATTCCTTTTTGTTCTAACCAAAATTTTATGACATTTATTGCTTTTTCAATAAATACATTTAACAATGCAGGTGAAAGTGGGCACCCTTGTCTCACACCTTTTTGAATTCTGGCAGTCACTGTTGTTGTATTAATGTTGATAATGGTTTCTTGTTCTTCATAAATCTTATAGAGAATACGTCTGTCTTTAAAATCTATCTCTGTTTCTTCAAAAATTTTAAAGAGACTTGTCCAATTTATGCTATCGAATGCTTTTTCTAGATCTATAAAAACCATATAAGTTGTCTTTCAATTTGTTTTTTAAGTATTACTCTCAGACCTAAAATAACCTCCCTGGTTCCTTTGTTCTTCCGGAAACCATATTGGTCATTGTCTAATCTAGCTTCTATCCTCTTACTTATCCTTTTGCTTACAATTATTGTCAGTTATTTAGCCGCATGCGATATCAAGCGTAAGGTCCTAAAATGTTCGCACCGGTTGGCTCTTGGTTTTTTTGGTAGGATAACTAATCTATTACATCCAAAATCTCTCGGAATTTTTCCCGTCTCGTATATTTGGCATAATAGTTCGTACAGAGCATTCTTTATTTCATCCCCTGTCTGTGGTAGGAGTTATTATTATTATACAAAATAAAAAATGAGTCACATAAAATTAGTCTTATAAATACTAATAAATAATGCTTGAATAATTGAATGATGTGATGAATAATTTTTTTTTACATATTTGTACAATATATAAATAATGCCGCTGTATTTGTACTTTGTATAATCATGTCTAGATTATTTTTTATTACCTTGACTTAAAACTGATTGTAGTTGATGTAAGATATTAATTTAACATAAAAATTCATTACATCTGAGCTTTCGTTTTTGAAAATACTGTGTTATGATATTTTTTTATAACTTTTAACATTAATAGTCAGGTTAACTAAAAAATTACATAGTAGATAATATTTTATGATATAAACTTTATATATTATTGTTATTTATTATACAACTTCTATGGCATCACTTCTTTATTATGTATTTTTTTTTTTTTTAATATAATATTTATTATATTTGTTATTGGCCAATGCAATAGTAATCAACCGCTAAATATGACCCATCATTAATATTTTTTGGTGAGATATGCCTTAAATACCTTAAACATTTTATAGCCTCTAATTTATTGAAACATTTATAAATAATCGTTTATAAACGATTTTCAATCGTGGATTTTTTTTTTTTTTTTGCTCGATTGAAGACTCTGACCTTTCTTCAAGTTTTCTATATAGTTATGGTATTGCTTTATTGAATTTCATATACCTAACTATGAAATTTGATAATATAATCGGAGAGTTGGCTTTATTTTGTGATTTACAATATTTTCAATCATCATGATTACAATTTTTCTTCATTACAATTTTAATACTGATCTAGTTAAGCTACTTTGAGTTTTATTAATCAATAACGACTATTTGAATGACAGCTTTGAGCAAAGTTTAAAATTACCAAATTCATTTTGAAGTATCCTGTTTTGTTTTTTGTTTCTTCTTGATCTTTATACATATGGTCGTGGTGATATTTTACTATATCTAAATTTATATAATTTACTTAAATTTTTAGTTGGGTAATACTTATTTGCTTTAAGTGTTACAAATAACCTAAAATATTATTGGTTACCTAAACTGTAAATGAGATAATTTCACAATCTAGGGTGTAGCATTATGTTTGTTGTATTAAATTAATTGTTTATGCAAATTCGCCATGTTTTTTACAAACCTTTTCAAAAACATCTATTTAGATAGGTTAGGCTATGAAGTATTAACGTATGTAAATACATCGATTCCATAAAAATAGTACTAAAATAATGCAATATTTTAAGCCTCTATAATACTAATATTAATTTTGTTTTGTCATTCAAATTATATATTTTTTCTGACAGTACACCTCCCCATCAAATAAGTCTCTAATTTAACTTATTTTCATATTGTGAATAGTTACATCAGAAATTTAAGACTATTATGTGTCTATTATTTATTTTTAATATTTATGCCTTAACACGAAATATATTTTAATGAAAGTTAATTACCACGTTTTTGTAATAGATATTTATGTTTCGTTATACACACAGTAAATTATCATAGTTATTTAAACTAACTTGATACTTTTATAAGATAGTATCTTGTTAGAGAATATATACATTTCTAATTTCGTAATGTACCATACTCCTAAATCATATTCTATGTACCTACTAAAATATTGTCATAAGAAAATGAATTATGTATTTTTTTTATCGTAATTTGTAATTAAATAAAATGTCAGTATTATTTTGTACTATTAATACTGTCAATATATGATTATTATAATTAAATAAATACAATTTGTAAGTATAATAAATATTTTTTATTTCAATCTTGATAGCGATGTAAAGAAACCCAGATTAAGATAATTTTGAGCTCAGGGCAAAACAATTTTAGAGACCTATTACCATAATCAACATTTTTTTAAAAAAAAAACAAAAAAAAACACGTACTATCCGCCAGGGGTCACTATTGTTTTATATCCGTAGCTGCTCCCATTGTCTCCGAGAAAGTTAATCATGAAAAAGCTACTAATAGGTAAATTGTAGAATGTTCAATAGATATATCACTTTTTTTTTTTTTATCAGAGAATAACCTTGCATTACGTGGTCATCAGGAAAGCTTTAAAAAGATAATCACAAACCAAAGCAATTTTATAAATCTAGCTTTAATATCAAAATATTAGCCTTATTTATCTAGTTACATTAAAAAATTTCATATTTCTCTCAAAAAAAAAAAAATCCAGAAATTAATTTTCTATCAAAATTAAGCA